TTTGCAAGTATCTTCTCTCATTCTGTCAGTTTTCTTTGGATTTTGTTAGAAGTTTCTGGTTCCTTATTAGGTGGCGAGATTATCTGTAAAATTGGAAGTTTCCAACAATAGCAATATGACAGGGAGGATTCATTTTTGTAAGGCAAGAAACCAAGACAATCAGGCCCAGCAATGAGCAAAAACATTACTTTCAAAGAAACGTTGAATGAGAAATTCGGGCTCTGACAGTTTTCAAGGTGGACTGTCAGGTGCTTGAGGCATATGTCTCCAAAGGTTTGTGTCTCTGCAGGCAACTGGAGGAAGTTAAAATGGGGTCAGATGGGCCAGGTCTCCTTCCATTTGAGAGTCCTTCACCTTTTCTCCTCTGTCGAAGAGACTGGGTTGAAAATATCTTTGTTCTGCTATTCCTACTTTGCTGTTTTAGATGAAAGTTATATGACTCAGTGTTTCCTACTCTTAAATTGATCCTCATGTCAGAACTTCCTGGGAGAGTTAGTAAAAATGCAACCTCTTAGATCTGGTTTCTAGCAATTTTGATTCAGCTAGCTTATATGGGCTCTGGAATCTACGTATGAAAGTCAGGGGTTTAGTCAGTTTGGAAACTCTCTGAGATCAGGGATGTCCCTTACAGTTCTTGAGACTGATGATTTCATATATATGAGGACTTTTAGTCTTCATAATCAACTTGTTAGTGGAAGCTTCCCCTTTTCCTGGTTTGCAGATGAAGAAACTAAGGCACAGAGAGGACCCAATTCCCCTGTGACTGGCACAAGGACCCCTTGCTAGGGTGGCTGGAGCCAAGTCGTGGGGAGAGTCCCCTTCTACACCAAACCCCATGCCCACATTTTTCAATTCACTCTTATAGCTTTCCATACAGGTGCTTCCTTTACCTAGACTTCATTTCTGCCCCAACCCTCCAGGATTAAATTTTTTCATTTGAAAAATTTCTTCCTAACACGCTAAGAGCATCTTGTTGTGAACACTGGCTATTGATGTGAGACACAGTGCTTAACAACAATATTTTGGGACACCTGGGTGGCTCAGTCTGTTGGGCATCTACCTTCAGCTCGGATCATGATCCCGGGGTCCTGGGATTGAGTCACATATCAGGATCCCTGCTCAGCGGGAAGAATGCTTCTCCCACTGCCTGCCTCTCTCCCTGCCTGTGCTTGCTCTCTCGCTCTCTCTCTCTTTCTCTGACAAATAAATAAAATCTTAAAAAAACCTTTTTGCTTTCATATCTCCAATTAACATGGATATATGGTGCAAAGTGGGTTTTTAATATTAACTTATCTTTAAGTAGATGTTCATTCATTCCAGTTACTTTTAGGGAAAGTCTTTCATTATTCTGGTGAAGTGTACCAGTGACCTTATTTTAAAAATCAAATAATTGATGGGTGCCTGGGTGGCTCAAAAGGTAGAGCAAGCAACATTTGATCTCAGAGTTGTGGGTTTGAGCCCCATGTTGGATGTAGAGATTACTTGAAAATAATTGAAAAAAAAAGTTTAAAAATTGTATATGTGTATGGGGACATTTTTTACTTTACTCTCTTGTATTCATATATTTACAGTGTTTTCTTACACCATACTGTAGTGCTTTAATTATCATAGCTATATGATGAGCTTTGAAATTTAGTACATTTCTCTTATTTAAGTCTTCAAGGTCGTCTTGCTATTCTAAGTACCTTGATTTCCATATACATTTTAGAATTAACTTGTAAATTTGCCCCCAAAGTGTCTTCTCCCATGTGAGTCAGAATAAAACTGATCTGATATTCCAACAATGCAGAGTCTTCTAATCTATGAATGAGATAGATGTTGTTCTATTTATTTAGATTCCCTTTAATTTATCCCAGCAATAGTTTCCAGGGGCCTTTGTTATATGTGTTCTTATGCACTTAATAATGGAGGAAACGAATCTCTGTTCTGTTTATTGAATTTCATTTCCTTTTTAAAAAATGTTATTTTCTAAATGCTCATGGGTAGTATGGAGAAATAGAGTAGATTATTCCATGAATGTTACAGAGGTATAATTTAGGTACAGTAGACTGATCACTTTAAAGTGTAAAATTAAGAGTATACTTTCAGGGATCATTTCTATAGCTTGTTACTAGAGAAGTTCCTCTGAATGTGTACAGTACCCAAAACCATGAGGAGGAGGCCCAGTGTTCTCTTGTGAGCATGAAACTGGCTTTAGCCATTGTTTCCACAATTGCCAACTGCCATCAGTGACTGTTCTCCTCCTCCTTTGGAAGAGTCAGAGAGAGAGACATGGTCTGAGTGCTTTCCCAACAAAATAAAAACTAAAAAAAGATAAACAGTACAATGAAATGCATTTTCATAGATGTACATTTCATTTTTCTTGCTAAGTCGTATTCCTCTATATGGATATATTCTGTCTGTACATTCACCTACTGATGGACATCTATGTAGTTTCCAGGGTGTGGCCATTGTGAAGAAAGCTGTGATGAATACTCATGTGCAGGGTGTTGTGCAGACATACTGTCTGAACACCTAGGAGAGGAATGGCTGTTCACATGATTGGTACATGTTTACCTGTGGCTCAGTTTTTCTCAGGGGTTGGACCATTTTTCATTCCCAAAAGTGTAAGAAACGTCCAGTTCCTTTACATCCTTACCGCATATGTTTTCAGTCTTTGTAATATTAGGCACAGGGATGGAGGTGTAATGGTAACTCACTGCAGTATTAATTGATCTTCCTGATGCCTGAGCATGCTGTCCAAAACCGACCTCTGTGCTTCAGAGCCAAAATATAAGATGAAGACAGAGTTTGCAATAATGAGGAACAATAGCTTTCCAGGGCAAATTAAGCTACAGCAGGCTAAGGTCCTCAAAAACTGGAAGCCCCCTGCACCCGGAAGAAGGGATGGGGAGGGCGGTTATGTGGAAATACAGGATCTAGCTGGCTTCCACAGAAGCTGTGTGTCAGTTTCTGGCCTCCTCCATCATGTCTCTAGGGTGAAACAGAACGCTAAGAAGGAAGGAGGGGAGATTGGCAGAAGAGAAGAAAAGGTTACTTAGTTTAAAACTGAGCCTCCTGGAGACATTATTGAAGCCATTTTGATTTTTGTTCAACTCTATTCTTTAAGTGGTTTCAGGTGGAGCATCTTACAAGTGCTTCTGGCCATTTAGATATCTTCTTTTGTGAAGTATTTCTTCTTCAAGTCTTTTCATCAATTCTCTTATTGCTTTGTCTTATCAGACACAAAACGTGTCAGAACATTACACTGAAAACTACAGAGCATTACTTTGAGAAATTAAAGAACTAAATACATGGAAAGATAAAATATGTTGTTAATTGGAAGACTCATTATGATTTAGATGTCAATTCTTCCCACAATGATCAACAGATCTCGCACAATGCCAATCAACATTCCAGCAGATATTTTAGTAAGCATTTATAAGCTGATCCAAACATGTATATGGAAATGCAAATGTTCTTGAACTATCAAAATGATGTTAAAAGACGAAGTGGCATTGCCTATTCCAGAATTACTATAAAAATATGTTATGCAAATTAAATTTTTTTTCTATTTAATTTCAGTTGTAAGAGTTTCTGCACATTCTCAGTGCAAGTTGGAAGTTGCCTTACTCCCTTTTTACTTTAGTTACTTGATCTAAAATCTGGCCATTATTTACATTTTTTTAAAAAGACTTTAATTATATATTTGTCAAGGAGAGATACAGTGAGAGAGGGAACACAAGTAGGGGGAGTGGGCCAGGGAGAAGCAGACTCCTCATTGAGCAAAGAGACCAAAATGGGGCTCCGTCCAAGGACCCTGGGATCAAGACCTGAACTGAAGGCAGAGGCTCAATGACTGAACCACCCCGGAACCACTATTTACATTATTTTTATATGCAGAGAGCATACTGAAGTCTGGAAAGCATTTAAGTTCTCAAAGAGAAAGGCAGAACATCGTTGATCATTATGGCAAGGATGCCCCTATTAGACTTTGTGAACTTGACTCGATTTCTCCAGCTGGCCAAGTCAGAGAGGGGAGCTACTGATACCAGCAGTTTCCTCTGGAGTATTGCAAGTATTAACTGCTTTGTGCCAGCGTGGAACCCAGGTGTCGGCAGTGTCCCAAGAAGCTGAAATCTTGTTGCTGTCCAGGTTCCCTGGGCCAAGATAGGTCAGAAACACCATGAGAGAAAAGGACAACCACTGATGTCATCCCCAGGCAGTATGGGCCACTTCTTCCCAGGAACTCACCACACCCACACTTCTCATGACTTCTGGTTACTAGACTGAAAGGCCTGTGAGAGTTGGGATAACACTGTATTTACCTCTGTATTCATGACTCCAAGGACCAAGACAAGTACTGAGGAAGCTCTCAGAGATATTCCTTCCCTTATCCAATAGAAGTGGTGGAAAAGCTCCAATCTCAACTTCAGTCCTGGACAGAATGTCCTGCAGGAATTCTCTCTGCTTTCTCCCAGGAGGCAACAAATCCCCTTCCTTAAAGAGGAGACTGCAGGACACTCTTGATGTCCCATGACATTCCTTTGTGGTGCGCTCTGATGAAGGGGGGACTGTCCTCTTGGATTCTTCTCAATGGGTCACCTGTCATTAGGATTCGATGTACTTGGCCTAGCCCCCATGACCTTTTGCTGAGCAGGGAGCCCCCTTGCCCCACCCTGGCACCAAGGGACTTGATCCCTGGGACCTGGAATTATGACATGAGCTGAAGGCAGACTCTCAAGAGACTGAGATACCCAAATGCTACAAGATTTTGTTTGCATTCTCCCACTCACTGCTTGACCTCCTCAGTGAAATCTTATTGATGTCAGAATTCCAAGTTCTTAACACAGACTAAGGAAAATGAAACACTGAACATACACACAAGATATATTGTGCATAAAGCCTTTTACAATTGTAAATTTGGAAGAATTTTATTAGTATCACTGCCTCAGAGGCAAGAGTTCCCTACTGTGGTCATTTCTGACATTACAACAATACTCTGCAGTAAGAATGGACCTCTCCAACTCTTATCCAAACATCACTGATCCCCCCACACTTACTTGGAAGACATCCACCATAAAAGCAGCTCCAAGGTTGAAGCTAGGGGTCTGGGGCACAGCCTCATGGTCACATCCTCCTCCTCTGGGAACTGGTGCTTCCCTGAAGTACAAATGAATCCCGATCCATCCTGTGAGGCTCTGTGGCAGGGTCCCAGGTTCACTGTGGACTACGTTACTCTCCTAGTCCTTCCTGCTCAGCTCAGGCTGCTCCCTGTGGCCTTTGATGCTGCTGCATGCATTCCTCAGTTTCCCCTGATTTTTCTGGACTCAGCTTGTGTTTATTCTTCACTCCTCTAGCAACCACCTGCTCCACCATTGCCTTGTTCTTCTTTGTGTTATTCTCATCTTCCAAACTTGCTGATATCCTGTCTTCCATCTCCTCTCTCCATTCTCTGTTTTCAGTGTGGACTCAGCTCAGGCTCCTGTGGGAGACACACAGAGAAGGGACCAAGTCTGGTCTCGGCTGCAGTCCCCAGGGCTGTGTAACAGGCACCTCAGTCCCTCGTGCACTCACAGAAACTGAGCAGGATGGGACTTTGGAGAATTTGAATATCAACCATATCTTACACATGAGGAAACCGAGGCCCACAGGGATTAGGAGAATTTCCCCCACCAGCTGACAGCAGTCGAGCCCCCGCACAAGCCTTGGCTGCAACTTCCCTGTCCAGGCTCCTAAGACACCCTCCAGAAACCCACTTCTGAATATCAGGGGACACTGGTCCATCAATATTCCAACAGTTAAAACAAAAATGTCCAGAAGGACTTTTCCCCGGAATATACTTTTGTCATAATTCTACACTCCTACAGTTTATACTCAGTTGGTTTACAAATTGGGTGAGCTATAGTAAGTACACCCTCAAGATGGGAGAGCAGGAAGGCCTCAATGTGGCAACTGCATCAGGGTTAGGAGTGTCTCTTCTTTTCTTGTCTCATAGATTATGGGTCATAGCTAAGGTCGTCTCCAACTGAGGTTGTTTCCAATCATCTAAGGAACTCAACCTACTAGTCAGTAGGAGCAGTTTGGGCCCTAACAAAGTTCTTCCTGTACCTGTTATTGCATCTGCTCCCACTGTGGGATTGAAACTGCCATGTAAATATCATGAAGCCATAGGTTATTGTAGGACCCAGACCGGAAAGGAGAGCACATGCTCTTCACCTGCTGTTCTTGATCTGATAGCCCAGGAGGTGGGAAACCATGAAAGCACTGTGTACCACCATCTGGGCCTCCAGCTCACATCAACCTTCCTCCTCTATCAGTTTCACACCTGGGACAACCCATGCAGGAACAAGTCCTTTTGAGCCATTTTGAAATGAGAAATTGAGACACAGGAAATTCAAGATGCTTAGTCAAAGTCATACTTTCCCAGTCAGGTTTGCAGCTACAGCTGTAAGATTAGAGGTCTCTCTTTTCTTTTTCTGTTTTAGGGATTTCTAGTGAGAATAAACAATGCCAGCCTCTGAAGCCCTCAACTGACACTCCCAGCCTGACTGTATTTTCTCATGTTTGAAATAAATAATCATGCATGCAGAATATCAACCTCAGACAAGACTGCTTTGAGACCTTGATAAAATGAGATAAAACAAGGTCACCTGACAATATTGTTCAGGATAGATGAAAACAAGCTCACAGTGCAACCTACATCCCAAACATTGTCCTCTCTTCATAAGGAGATAACTATTAACTTCTTTATTACAATCATAGAATTGTAGTGCTAATAGTGTTCAGAGAAGAACAAACCCCACCTCTTTCCATGCTCTCCCACATCAACTACCCGAAGTCCAAATCTTAGAAAAGTTCCTTACTGAGACCTTGGGGTGTGTTCCTTCTGTCCGCAAGGAGTAAAATAGCCAGCGTGGTTCATGAGAAATGTGTTCCTGGAAATTCGACATAAAGGAATGAACATCAGCTTTCCAGGAATGAACAGCTGTCAAAACCAGCACCAGATATAAAGCTGATATTGTCTCTGAGATGCCCAGGCTCTGGAACTCCAGAACTTGTTTTAATCCTTAAACAGGAAAAAAAAAAAAAAGACTCTACCAAATCCCTTTAGTAAGTAACATGAACCCTGGTGTTCAGGCAGATTTTCCCACCTCTGGTTTTAACAGAGACTGCGCTAGATCTCAGGGTTGAGAGTTTGAGCCACAAAAAGGGTAGAGAGATTACTTAAAAAATAAAATCATAACAAAATGTTAAAAATATGGAGCGGCTTGGTGGCTGAGCTGGTTGTCTCCAACTCTTGGTT